GTATTAAAGGCCTGCGCCACCATACCCGGCCCTTCTATCCTCTTTGTCCAAAGTTGAGAGTTTGTTCCAAAAATATTTACTTTGTTTGCCACATCTGGTGAGGGAGGCAGAGCAAGAAAGGCGCCCGTTACTTGAACACAGTGAAATCCTTTCCTCTGTTGTCTGCTAGATATTATTGTCTTTGATAAAAGGTTATGTACCACTTCAATAGGGACCAAACCAAAGGGAGAGTCCTCCACACCCTGCAGCACATGGAATCACATTTAATCTTTATCCTTACTTTGGCGCAGTGTTGTACATCTAAGAAAGCCAGGACTTGGGGAAGCTAAACAAGGCACAGGATGTGAGCATGGATCAGATGGGATCAGGACCCATTAACCTGCTTCTGGTGGTCTGACTTGATTTGGGTTGCTGCCTTCTTAAGACATGAAGTCTTCGCTGTCCTTTCAGCGCTGGGGCTTCGTAAATGCTCAGTTCATATCTTTGGGTGACGGAATGAAGAGGCTCATGTGGAAAAGGCGTGATTAGGGAACAGCAGGAAAAGAGAAGTGGGGTTCAGTTGAAATTTCAGCCAGAGACAAGAGTCCTTAATAGTTCAGAACAGGGCATTAGGAAAATGGCCTTGACTGAGGGTTGACTGCTAGGCTTCATGCAGGCTCCTCACAGACATCATCTTATACCCCAGACACTGGGTGTTGCTCCTCCTCCATGCAAACCCCCTTAAACGGAAGATAGTAAAGCTTATAGAGAAAGGCACCAATCAAACTTTGAAGTGACCCTTTTCCCTGTCAGCAAGTCACAGTATCTAGGCCACTGATGGCCATACATAACCAGGCAAAGAGGTTCAGGCTGGGAAGAGGGTGATGGAGCTGAGTTCAGTGTATAGCCTTGGGCCCTGCACTCACACTCAGATGGGGAGGGTGGGCTTAGTGAGTATGAAGAGGCTCTGGTATGGTGAGTGGAAAGAAGAGAGGAATCAGCAGAACAGGGAAGCGGGCCTGGAACATTCCACCAGTAAGGGATAGGAGGGTACTTGGTCTCAGCTCTCCCAAGCTGTTACCCTCTGCACTCCATTATCTGCACGTGGAAGGTACTATTGCTGAGAGGGTCACACAGGCAGTGAGTGACAGGCTCAGGACCAGACGTCCAGGCTTGTCTTCCATCTTCAGTAACTGGTGCTGTACATCAGCACTGCCTCAGTACTTTAGTGACTACACCAGCCATGTGTGACTGTTTACATTAAGTTTATTAAATGAAGTCAAGATCCCATGAGATTTCTTAACATGAACCACAATTCAAGTGCTACAACAGCCTGTGCATAGTGCCCCTCCTTTGAGGACAGACGAGATGTGGGCTGTTTCCGTGGTGCAGCATGCTCTTGGCACCGCTGCTCTGAGAAGACATAGCACCATGTCTGTGGCTCTGACTTCTCCACCCTTCCATCATCTTGTCCCTTCAGGAGTCTCATCCCGGTTTTTCAGGGTAGGAAGGAAGTCCACAGTGCACCCACTGCTCTGTTTTTAGGGACCTGGTGGGGTGGGGGATATCAGAAGTTAACAGTGCAGTGGGGTGGGACAGAACCAGACTGCTTATGAATCAGCCTGGGACCAAGTTCCAGACTATTGTGTCAGACTCCTAGGACGGGAGCAGACAGTTCAGAAAAGCAGTGTTGACCTTCCTGTGGTCAGGAACGACTGCCCAGCATACATCTAGGGTTGCCTCAAGAAACCCTGTAATAGACAGGTAAATAGAAACTCCTGCAGGGGTCAAGGTCAAAGTGTAGGAAGCAGAAGGACACTGTGGAAAGATCTGCTGAGAAGTCTTAGAGTTCTGGGGAAAAGAAGGCCCAAGGGACACTCAGCAGGCTTGGCAAGTGACAGAGGAGAAACTGAACATGACTTGTTTTCATTTTATTTTAATTTTGTCCCAGAGCTCTTGAAGCGTACAGAAAGGGAAGTGCTGAGTTTTATGAGTCTCATCACCAACTTCCTAGTTCTCACATTTCCTGACCCAGCTTTGTTTCCCTGCACTTTACCTCCTAGAATGCTTAAACACACCTTAAATATGTCCTTACAGAAGTCACCCCATTCTATGGCTCTAGAACATTTGACTCTCCAGAGAAGCTGGACTTGTCAGAAATCCCCTAATCCCACTCCACCACCTTGACACCCCATAATCGGGAAAGAACCAGAATTGTTACAAAAAAAAGCCCCCTTGTTCTTAATGTTTGGAATTAAAACCACACCCCTTTAGGGAGTGAGCACCTCATCTTCACAGGCATTCAGTCACAGGTTACCATGTTTGCTGGCAATAAAACTTCACAGTTGAGGCTTTATGGGTACAGAAAGGTTCAAGTCCCAACCTATACTCAGGAAGGAGGAGACTCTCAAGGTCTTGGTTTGTTCCTCTAGAATGGACAGCACAGGCTGACCTTAGAGCCACATGCCTAGTGGCCCGTCCACCCTAAGTTTCTAAGGAAAGCTGAGTGCCAGGCAGGCAGGAGAGGACGGGAAGCAGACCCAGAGCCCAGTGAGAGCAGGGTGTGAAGGCAGCATCATAGAGGTCTCTGCCTCCTCTCCTGCCAAGGTTCTCCCAGATGGTTCAGGACAAGCCCCTGCGTACCTCCTGGCAGCGGAAAATGAAGGAGCGACAGGAGAGGAAGCTGACCAAGGACTTCGCCCGGCACCTAGAGGAGGAGAAACAGAGGCGCCGGCAGGTAATAGGACATCCAGCCAAGTCGGGATCGCAGAAGCCAAATACATGTATGCTGCAGCAGACATGGGCTGCAGGGGTATGACTTAGAGCTCTGGGATGAGGGCCCCAGGGGAACAAAGCGGAGTCTGGGGCCGTGGTGGGATTCCCATTCTGCTGTCCAGTTAAATCTCTGGCTCGGGCATACAGGAGACATGGAAGTAGAGCAAGGTGCCCAAGATGGAGGCCAGCAAGCCATCTTAGTGGCAGGAGTATTCAATTTGCTGAACTCAGCCCCTCTCTGAGACCTGCTTACGAGGGAAAAGCTTGTCTCAAATCTGCTGTCTTTCTAGAAGAAACTTCTACACACCAGCCCATGGGTGGTTCCTGTACTTTCCTTTCAGTTCACTTCCCTAGCCCGCATCTTGTAACCAAAAATGTTCTCATTAAGGTTTATGCTCGTGACATAGCTCAGTGGTAGAGCACTTGACTGGCACACACAAGGTCTTGGGCCCAGCACCACAGAGGCTCATTTCTAACACCTTCCGCCTCCAGGAAGTCTTAGGAGGAGTCCCAGTGTCACTTCAACAGGCAGTACTCAGTAAGCAAGGTCAGCAGCACTGTTCCCAGGACTAAGTTCAGGTGTCACTTCTAGTCTGATGAGCCCAAGGTATAGAAGGAACACTGATCCAGAGTCAAGCAGCTTGTCTCAGATCTGTAGACCCAGCTTGGCCACTGAGAAGAGGGATGGGCCAGCCACTAGGGCATCATCCCTCCACCATACTTTGAGTCTTTTCATACCCATCTGTTACTGTGTCTGTCATCCCTTTCTATGCAGCCTTGGCTCCCTCTTGGGCAAAATAGTTGCCATCTCATGAGAAACTGGAGATGTGCATCCTCCCAGCCCTACTAATACATAGAAGCAAAGGTTACTTCCTCACCAAGGACCCAAGCTACCCTGATGACTCAAAGTTGTCAAGGTCACAAAAGGCCCTGATCATATACCATTTAACGTTGGAGCCACCATCCCTGTCCTAGCCCTGCTGGGTTACAATAGCAGCATAGCTAAGAAACCCCTGGAAAAGGCTCTGAATGTCCCCAGAGCTGGTACTATTCCAAGCCTTGATTGCACACTTATTTCTCAAGTCAGTCTGGTGAGGTGGGGCCTGTGGTCAACTTCACTGTGAGGTGAGGAAGTGGAGGCATAGACTCAGCCACAATAACCTAATTAGAGAGTATCCAAATGAAAATTCAAGCTGGACCAGGTTCCTCCAGAGCCTTTTGATAGCTCAGTCTGGGACCAGGTGCAGAGCCCAGCTATCAGCTGACCTTGGCATTCTCATTCAGGTACACCTGAGCCTGGGCAGAAGGAAACCTGGGAAAGTTGCATGAAGGAGGGAACCTTCTAGCCTTCTCCCTGGCAGCTAGTACATGGGATGGTACAAGGGGCCATTCTGCCTGCATGTGACTTCTGGGTGGGAAGGCACCCACATCTCTGCCCACACAGTCATCTGTGTAAGCTCAGGTATCTGTTCACCTTTCTAATTTGGAGCCAGGTAATCTTGCCACAGTGGGCTCAGCTCCAGGCCCACAATAAAAGTATTGTACCATTGTTCTTCCCCAGAAATGCCTCGGCCTCCACCCACCCCATAGGAACAGCCTGGAGTCTAAGCAGGCGTCTCCTGGTTGTACCAGTTCTCACTCACCAGGGGCCTGAGATACTAGGGCCCCTCAGCTCCTAGCGTGAGATCCCCTCTGTGTGTTTCAGGAGAAGAAAGCGCGCCGGGCTGAGAACCTGAAACGCCGCCTAGAGAATGAGCGGAAGGCTGAGATTGTCCAAGTGGTGAGTACACCCATCTAAGAGATGCGGATGTGGCCAGGTGAAAGAGGCCGGTAAGGTGCTTGGGCTCCCTGCCTTACATGGTCCACTGTCCTGCTGCAGTCCTGGGCCCCTGTCTTCCTTTTCCCCCAGAGACAGGCGTAGAGTCCTCAGTTATACTGATTCCTCCTATTTCCCCCACCCCAGATCCGAAACCCCGCCAAAATCAAGAAGGCGAAGAAGAAGCAGCTGCGCTCCATTGAAAAGAGAGACACCCTGGCCTTGCTCCAAAAGGAGCCACCCCAGCGGCCTGTGGCCAAGGTCTGAGCTCAAGACAGCATGGAGGCCTCCACAACCCAAGAGCCACAGCAAGCCACCTCTCAGGCCACTGTCAGACATCTCTCCTGGGGCCAGCACACCAACTCTGTCGCATTTAGATGGGGACCGAAGCCCAGAGGGAACCCAGGACCTCACAGGGTCTCAGGAAAGATTTAACTCTCTCCATCTCCTTTTAGGTCTTTTCCAAAGTGCCTTAAGATCTTGAACTGTTGCTAGGCAGTGGTGGCACATGCCTTAAATCCTGGCACTCGAGAAGCAGAGACAGACAAATCTCAGAGTTTGAGGCCAACCTGGTCTACAGAATGAGTTCTAGGACAGCCAGGGCTACAGAGAAGCCTTGTCTCAATAACAACAAAAGATCTTGAACTGTGAATTGTTCCCTGGTGAGCTGGTAACTAACTCCCTGCCTCGGGGTCCTGAGTCTAGCCCTCACCTGGAGGCCTGATGTCAGTCATCAGCTCCTCCATTTTCCCAAAGGCCAGAAACCTTGATCGCTTGTGACTTGTGCTCATCTGTCCCCTCTGGTGACCGAAGCCTGCCCCTCCCTGTAAATGGGGAGGTTGCAGGGAACTGGGTTCCTCTCTAGTGGTAGGTCTAGTAGTAGGTCCCTTTCCTACACTGGACTGCAGAAACCTAGGACTTGAGCCGTGCCCACCTGGGCTTCCACAGAAGTGTTTATTAATGTCTGCACAAGTACAGTCTGGGCTTCCAGAAAGACAAGCCCCTGCCCCATTGGGTTTTCATTCTTCTAATAAACAATGAAAATGCATGGTCTGACAGATGTGCTCTGGGGGAGTAGTGGGTGACATTTTACAGTCCAGTTTGAGCACCTGTCATGGGTTTGAGGGCCTGCTTAGCACTGAGAACTGACAACCAGCCTGGCCTTTAGTGGTTCAGGAGATCCTGCGAATGTCTCATCTCTGCCGTTCGCATCCTCCAGTTACTGACATCCACTCCCCTTCCCCTGGAATGTAGAGATGAGTTGAGCAGTCCCTCCACGGTGGGCAAGACATTAAATGAAGTGTGGTGGAAGGTCCGTGGCTGGTGCAAAGTGCCCCTCCTACCTGTGGGTTGGAAGTTTTAGCTGCTGGGCCCTGTCCTAAGGCAGCTATGATACCCAGGGTAGCTGGAGGATGTTCTCTCTGGATAGAGTTGAGCCTGTGATGCTGAAGGCTGGAATGTAGCCTCTTAGCTCTGAAACTAAGCAGTTAGATCCCTGAGCTGGAATTGACACACCTATCACAACCAATGAAGTGTAATAAAAGCATCTGACTCAAAGACCCCCCCCCCACACACACACACACACAGGGCAATAAAAGGGAAGGTGGTAGACTAGAAACTGCTTAACCCTCCGGCCACTGTAACCCCATATACACCATTGTTCATGGCAGAGTTTCCTCCTTGTCCACAAAGCAGCGCCTAATGAGATGCGGGCTGTGAGTTTAATCTGTGTGACTCCCGTTGTCCATGGGCAAGCTGCCTGGGAGGCATTAGAAGTACAAAATCTCATCCCCCATTAGCCTAGCAAGATCCCTAGGCAGTTCAAGTACTTCCTTTCTTTAAAATGTAAAAAACGTGGAGGTCAGCAATCAGGAACCAGGTAGTGCATCGCCTCCAAAGGCCACTTCTGCACCCTGCTGATCCTCTCCCAGCTCCACGCTGCAAGATTAAAGTGTTTAGGAAAGACCGCTTTTAGTTCACAAACTGGTTCCCTGGGCCCTGCTCAGGAGAGAGATGAGCTGGGCCTAGCATTGGCTATGTACATTTTCAAAGGTGTATGGTGAGATGCCAGGGGTGTGTTGGCGTGCCACCTGGGCTGTGCTGGTCTAATCAGAGGTGGAGCTCAGGGCGGGATTCAGTGAGCCTTGCTTCTGGGCCTGCACTGGAACGCTCTGCTGGGGCTCTGCACCATTACTCCGCATCCAGCTAATCAGTCGGGCAGGATGCAGTCGGGGAAGGCGGCCAGAGAGCAGGAGCGTGGAGGTTGTAGTAGTGGAGGACGCACGGCGGCGGCGGCTGCCAGACCCACCGCTCAAGTCGCTGTCCTCCACCAGCACGCTTTCAAACACTGAACGCAGCGAGCGCCGCAGTTTGTGCAGCATGTCCGGACAGGTGAGCACATAAAGCAGCGGATTGACCACGCTATTGAAGAAAGCCAGGCTGGTGACGAAGGGCAGCCCGCGTGAGACAAGCTGCCTTAACGTGGTGATAGCATGGGCACGCGCCTCTAGCAAACTGAAGACATGGTAGGGCCCCCAGCAGAGCACGAAGGCCACCACGATGGCCGCCACCAGGCGCACGAAGCGGCCTGTTCTCTGGCGGCCACGGTGGCGCAGTTGCAGGCTCACGGCCACGTGGCTCGAGGCGATAATGGCCAGAGGCACCACGAAAGCCAGCAAGAACTTGCTCACCGCCAGGGCTTTCTGGCGGTAGTCACACGTGGCGTCGCGGTCGGGCCCCGGGTTCAAGAGCAGCATGTTGTAATAGCACATGATGCGGCCGTCCAGCCTCGGGATGGTGTCCCTGAACACGAAATAGGGTACAGTGTTGAGCACCGCCAGAGCCCAAAGCATCAGGCAGACTCTGTGCGCGACCGCCACCGTGCGGTGGTTCTGTGCCCACACCGGCCGCACCACCTGCAGGCAGCGGTCCAGGCTGATGGCGCTGAGCAGGAAGCCGCTGGCAAACATGTTGAGAAAGAAGACCGAGGAGTGAAACTTGCAGAAGGTGGTACCCAGCTCCCACGAGTGGCCCACTGCCAGGAAGTAGGTGAAGAAGGGCAGGGAGGCAGCGGCTAGCAAGTCAGACAGCGCCAGGTGCAGCACCCAGGTGGTGACCACCGTCTGACGCATGTGACAGCCCACCACAAACAGGATGAGTCCGTTCTCCACCAGGCCCAGCACCGCAGCCAGCCCATGCAGCAGCACTGACACGTGGTCAATATAGCGGATGCTAGAGTTGCTGTGACTTGGAAGCTGGATCATCTCCTCTAAGAGCGGACAGAGTGGCTTCAATGTGATGTTGGCCATGGCGAGGTGGAAGAAAGGAGGGTTGAGCCTGGCACCCAGGAACCAGAAGCCTGCAGCCTGGGCAAGAGACGAACTTATTTCAGAGTTGCCAGTATGCCTAGCAATAGGATGGACACTAGGGATCAGTGAAGCTGAACAAGGCAAGGAACTAACATTCCAACTGCCCTCCTCCCCCAATGCAGTTTTGGGCAAACCAAGAGTAGCCTTCCTGAGCCTGTGTGCTCCTAACACAGGTGTCTCTCCCAACAGCCCCTAGCTTGTAGGACTACCGAAACAAGAAAATGAGAACTATTCAAAAGGGCGTGGGGTGGATGGGGAAAATAGAAGAGGACCTGAGTTTAATCCCAGCACCCAGGTATAAAGTGGGGCATGGTGGCATATGATTGTAGTCTCAGGGCTGGAGAGGTAGATCCTAGGCGCTCACTGACAAGCCAGCATAAACTCATCAGTGAAACCCAGGTCCCAGAGACCTTAACTCAAAAAGACAAGGTAGGGGACTGGAGAGATGTCTCCACAGAAAACACATACTGCATCTCCAGGGGACCAGTGTTTGATTCCCAGTGCCCATGTTGGGTAGCTCACAACTGCCTTTATATCTTCATTCCAGGGAACCCAATTCCTCTGGCATCTACAGACAGCTGCATTCACACACGTACCCACAAACACACACACATATACTCTTTAAAATAATAAAAACCTTTTAAAGGTGGACTGCTCCTTAAGCAACATCTCTCGAGGTTGACATCTGACTGACACACACACATGCATACACCTACATTCATGTGCACACACACATACTTTAAAATAATAAAAATAAATCTTTTTAAGGTGATTGCTGCTAAGGGACACGGAAGGTTGAGCGCTGGTTCACACACACACACACACTCACACTCACACACATACACACAAGGGAACTGGCACAAAGCAGGTGCTGTATCAATATCATTGTAATTAATATGAAGAACCTGTCCAAGATCACAAAGGTCAGACCAGACAAGACTCCTTCTCCTGGTCCCCAGAACACAGAGGGATGGGTGTGGCCCCTCCTATGGGATAGGGTTCTGTACCACCCAGCACTCCAGGCCTTACCTCACTACAGCTCCTCCTAGAGAGCTGCTGTCGTCTCAGAGGTGACCGCTTGGATGTGCTGATTGAATGAGATCAGGGGAACTAGCCCTGCTCTGACAGAGGAGAAGGAAATAAGATAAGAGACACAAGCGTGAGACCTGGCTGGAGGAACTATCACATGGGGTTTCTGGGGACCCAGGGAGGGCAGCAACAGTCCTATCTGTTCCAGGTAACTCATCCCTATTCACTCATTCCCACACTGGGCCAATAGTCATGTTGAGCAATAACTCAGGTGCTCTGGAAAAGCCAGGCTCTATGCATGCTCACAGCCTCATGGAGAACCCCAGGACCCTGTGACAAAGCCTGGGTCAGGGAGGGCTGAGGGAATCAGGTTTATACTCCCTGCAGAATGGAGGAAATGAAAGCAGGGTGTGGGAACTCAGGGTGGTTCCAAGCACCCATGACCCTCCGTGGAATGTGGCAGATCTTCCAACCAATGCTTTTTCTTGTAGCTCTGGAAGGAATGTGCCAGGTCTCTCTCCATCCCATTGTTCAGATGAGAAAACTGAGACACGAGTGTTTAAAGCATTGGTTGAGCCACCCAACACAGACATATGGAAGAGGGGCTGTTTGGTTCTCAGCCTGCCATAAGGATGCAAGTGAGGGCAGAGAAAGAGGAGGAGGGTGCCAGGACCTTCAGAACTTCTCTTCCCAACAGCAAGAGTGGCCAGAATGGAAAAATCTACTCGGTTGCAGACACCATTGTCCTTCCTAGGGTGGGGTTCTGGGACACCAAGCTAGAATTTCCCTGACAGAATACCTCTTGGAGCTAAGTCAGTGGGAGCAGGCAGAGCTGCAATCTCTGAATTATCTCGGAATTCTTCCTGATCCTCCTTTTTAAGCTTTAGCATCTGCGGAGCAGTGACACTCAGGAATTCAATGAAAGTAGCTCTCCAGAAGAGGAAGCAGATTCAGAGAGGCACAGAAACCGAACCAATACTGTGGAGGGAGGCTAAGGCTCTCCTCCCAGCAGGCAGGTGTGTGTCCCTCTTTCTTCCCTGAGACGGTCCCTGTCAGCTGCAGTGTCCACATCAAATGGGATGCTCAGAGGGCCGTGATGCTGCACTCCCGGGTACCACCCACTCTGATCCCTCAGGCTGCATGGAGACATCTTCAAGACTCAGGACCTTGGGGTGCCCAGCAGCTAGGATCCTGCTGTAGTGGGAACCCTAGCTTTGCAAAGCCCTGAGCTTAGATTCTGGTTCCTCAGCTACCAGCTGGGTGATCTTGTCAGTTTCTCTAAGCTCACTGTGTGATCCTGTCCCCACACCTAAGATTGTTCTGCATGGTGACCAGGGTTGGACAGCTCACCATTGTACACCATCTCGCTAGCATTCCTTCTGGACATCAGCCCTCACCAGACTCCTAAGCTCATCCCCTGTCATCCTAGCTAGGAGCAGCCTTCTGTCTAGTCCTGAGAGGACGCCAAAGCTGCCCAGCCCCTGGGGTGACTGACTCCTTACCTAGTCACAGAGTGAGCACAGGGTTGAGCCAGGGAGGCTGGAAGCTCCTGAAAGCAGCAAGCCTGGGCACCAGGCAAGTGGCAGGAGAGGAGTGAGCTGAAGGAGGAAATAGCTGTCAGCCCAGAGAGCAGGGGCGGGGACACTACACTCAAGGTCTTTCATCTCCATCCTGGCCACCAGGCCTGGTCCGCCCCTTCTCTTCACAGAAGACTGTAACTGAGAGGACAGTGTAAGTCCTTGACTGCCAATACCCTGACACAAAGGTCCTCTGTAGAGAGCTCTCAAAGCAGCATGAGCCCCTGTCCCCAGAGGACCAGAGGAAGCGGGGTAGGGCCGTGGGAAGAGCACAGAGACCCTTGGCCAGGAGGTCAGTCGCTTCCCCTCGCTGGGTGCTGTCAACCGTGAACGGGACAAAGTCTTCTCACAGCACATGGTAAGAGCAGGATGAGGCAGGTCACAGGAGCACTGGCACGTAGTAAATGTTCATAAAAGCAGCTTCTTTCCCATCCACAGAAAAGCAGGGAAAATGGGTAGCTGTTATACACTGAGGGTTCTTATTGAAAATAGACCACAAGTCCAGCGTAGGAGAAGGCTGAGTCTTAGCAGTTTGCAATTTATTATTCCCTAACTTGTGTGAGTGTGTGTACAGGTGTGCATACAGGTGAGGATGTATATGCATGTGAAGGCCAGAGGACACCTCAGCTGTTGTCCCTCAAGGGACATTCACCTTGGGGGGGGGGTGCACGCACACATGCGTGCGTACACTCGTGTGCATGTATGTTTAGTGGTGCACATGTGTTTGTGTGTACATGGAGACCAGAGAGCAATACCAGGTGTTTTCCTCAATCACCCCTCACCTTTTCTTTTTTAGTATTTTATTTTGTATTTTATGTGCATGGATATTTTGCCTGCAGGCGTGTCTGTGCATCATGAGCATGCAGAGCCCATGGAGGCCAGAAGAGGGCATGGGATACCCTGAAACTGGAGTTATAGACAGTTGTGAACTGTCATGTGGGTGCTGGGAGATCAATCAGTGCTCTTAACCACTGAGTCATCACTCCACCTTATATATTTTTTTTTAAAAAAAAATTTATCTGGGGGCTGGCAAGACGGCTCAAAGGTTAAGAGCACTGACTGCTCTTCCAGAGGTCTTGAGTTCAATTCCCAGTAGCCACATGGTAGCTCACAACTATCAGTAATGAGATCTGGTGCCGTCTTCTGGCCTGAAGGCATACATGCAGGAAGAACCTGTATACATAATTAATAAATAAGTTTTTTAAAATTATCTGTGTGTGTGCATGTGCACACCTGCATGAATGTATGTGCACAGCACACATACCAGTGCCAGCAGAGACCAAAAGACAGCATCAGATACACTAGGACTGGAGTTACAGACAGTTGTGGACTGTTCTGTGTGGGAGCTGGGAGGGATCTGATTCAGGCACTTTGCAAAAGCAGTAAATATTCTGTGTTCATCTCTGTAGCCTCTTCATACTTTATCTTTTAAGATAGGATTTCTAGGACTAGAGGTGGTGGCGCACACCTTTAATCCCAGCACTCAGGAGGCAGAGGCAGGAGGATCTCTGAGTTTAAGGCAACCTGGTCTACAGAGCAAGTTCCAGGACAGGCTCCAAAGCTACAGAGAAATCCCTTCTCAAAAAACCAACCCCCACCCCCAAAAAAGAATTTTTCACTGAATCTAGCACTTACAAATTGGTTAGACTGTCTGGTCAGCAAACTCAGGTCCTTGTGCTTGCATGGCAAGCACTTTACCAACCAAACCCTCTAGCCCATCGCCTAAGTCCTTCTCTCCTTTGTTTCTTGTAGCCAGGGACCTTCCTTCAATTTCGACATCCCATGTCCAACAAAACACGTGACAAAGTCAATGTCCCCAGATTGTGACAAGAAGGCCTTGTTCACTGGAGGGCTGAGTTCTTGACACCCTTGTATAAGGCAGATGTCAGGGTACGACAGTGAAGACAGTGCTATGCCAGCAGGGGTGTTCCTCAGAGTGTCTCAAGTCATGGGTCCGCAAGGGCCTCGGTTGTCCAGACCCTTAGCCACCCTTTATGTTTTCCTTCCCCTGAGTCATGATGCTGGCAGTCCTTCCTAAGAGTGCATCATCCCACACGCTCTCGGGACAACGTTCATCTGTCCCTGTCACGGCCTGAGTCTGGTGCCCATAGGCCCGTGTTTTGATTTCCAGCTGATTGTGTGTTTGGGAGGCTGTGTAACCGAGCAGGCAGATGTAGGACAGTAGGGGCAAGACTTTATGGTTAGACCCACTGTCAGTTCCAGGCTCATACTTGATTGCTATTCCAACATGATACGAACAGCTACCCCCACATACTCCAGTTGCTGTGAGCTTGACCTGCTCTGCCATGCATTTCCTGCCATCATGGGCTGAAACTCTCTAAAAAATGTGACCAAACAAACCTTTCTTCCCTTAAGCAATCATATCATATGTTTCGTCACAGCAATACAAACATAACTAATATGCTACCCAACCTATACAAGCATGGACAAGGACATAAGGCAGTATGGTGTGGTGGTTAGACCAGGACCTTTGAGCCAGACAACCAATAGTTGAATCTGGCCCTGCCATTCCCTAGCTATGTGACCTGGGGTGAATAACTCCACAGCAGTAAAATATGATTCTTAAAAGGACTTCCTGGGGCAGAGAGAAATTTTAGCATCTGAGTCTGATTGCCAGCACTTGTCTGAGGAGGCTTAGAACCACCTGTAGTTTCAACTCCAGAGCCTCCAACGCCATCTTCTGGACTCCACAGGCAACCGCACTCACACCTGTACGTGGACACATGCACATACACTCGTGCACATACACACAGGTACATACACTGATGCACATACATACAGGCACATACACTCATGCACATACACACAGGCACATACACTCATGTATATACCCTACACTAAAAACTAAAAATGAGTTATAAGGGCTTTCTATACCCAGTTCTAGCCTTAGCAGGGGTTAGTGTGCAACCTGCTGACTGAGCTAAGAGAGGACTCCTTCCTTCCCTAATAGACTTATCTAAGGCGTGAGGCCTGCACAGACTTCCCTCGGGATCTCAGCCCACCCCTGAGTCCTCCCCTGAGTACCTTTGTACGGTGAACATCTTGTACAACTTCTGTGCCAACCATGGTAAGGGACTTTCTTTCCAGAAAAAAAATCCTTTCTCTTCTGACTTTTCTCGATTCTCAGTCGTCACTCTCATGGCTTGTTTCCCAGCCCTCCCTGAGGATGCCTTATGGCTAAATGAAAAAAAAATGTCCTAATAAAGTTACAAAAACAAACCAAAAAAGAATTCCCTGGAATGAAACTCTGAGGCATTTTCTGAAGACGTGAAGGACACACACTGTCTTCCCCTTGTCCCAGAGGGCCTTGTGGGATCCTGGCCAATTGTGTGTGGAAAAAGCAGCTTCTATGTGTGTCCTCGGAGCCAAGCTTCTCCAGTCTCTGTGGCAGAAGTGTCAGGAAAGGATGTTGGCAAGCCTCATGCTTCTTAGCCTGGAGTCTCAGGAACAGATTTAACATTGGTCACTCCAAGAGGATGAGTGTCCCTGAAGTGTGTCAGAGCATTGGGGTACTGGTCACCAGGGTCACTGGCTGGGAGTAACAGGTCGAAGGCCTGACTGGCCAGGAGTCCTGCTTACCCTGAGACCAGGAGGAAAAAGACCAGCCAACGGGGATTAGGCTATCCCAGGGGACAGTAGGTTATCAGCCTTCCCTGAGAGCAAGTGTGAATGAAAGTGATCAGAGCCTTAGGAAGGAGCAGGCACGGCACAGACCAAAGCTCCCCAGGCTTGGGAGAAGACCCACTCTGTAAAGTGTTTTGCCACGCAAACATGAGGTCCTAAGTTTGGGTTCCCAGAATCCACGTGAAAAGCCCAGCACGGCAGCATGCACCTGTAATCCTGGCGCTGGAGAAGTGGTGACAGGCAGGTCCCTGGAGCTCACTGGCCCTCCAGCCTAGCCAAGTCGGTGAGCTCCAGAGTCACATGAGAGGCACCGTCTCAGAAGACAAATATGGTATGTATTCACTTACATGCGGATATTAGCTGTTACATCAATAATAACCAAGGCAAAATACATAAAACCACAGAGGATAGGTATAGAGTAAGGGACTAGAGGGAACGTATAGATCTCATTAGGAAAAGAAAAAGAACGGGGGCTGGAGAGATGGCTCAACGGTTAAGAGCATTGCCTGCTCTTCCAAAGGTCCTGAGTTCAATTCCCAGCAACCACATGGTGGCTCACAACCATCTGTAATGAGGTCTGGTGCCCTCTTCTGGCCTGCAGGCATACATGTAGACAGAATATTGTATACATAATAAATAGATAGATAGATAGATAGATATTTTTAAAAAAGAAAGAAAAGAAAAGAAAAAGAACAAATAATTACGGAAGGATTGGGAGGGGCTGGAATGGGAGGATCAAGTGCTGAAGGGGGGGGAGAGGGAGTCTTGGGAAGGAATATGAAGAGAGATAGCTAAAATTAAGGAGCATTTGAGGGGTACTATGTACCTAGTACAGTAGGAACTTTCTAAAATAGATACATATATGAAGGCAATCTAAGTTAAATTGCCAAATAATTCAGGAGATGGAGTTCCTTCAGGACATCCCTTGTCACCAAACAAAGCTTCTAGGGCCAGGATTGAGTTACATGTAATTGAGTTGTTGGTCAAAGGAGTCCCCTGGAATTCCTAAACAACCCAGGCTGTTGCCAAGACTGTAAGTTGCTCTCCACAAACTAACATCAAGGCCCCACTGCCGATGACAGCACCCACACAGCTCATTGAACACGGATTTGTCAAGCTGGTGCCGACATGCAGCCTTCACCCCTAGGTTCCAGCATCCTTGGCACAGGAAGATGCTCTGCACACTATCAACAAAGAGGCACAAACACCAACCCAGCCACAGCTTCTTATCTCCAATGGTGGGCTGCCTGCAGACATGCTAGTGTGATGGTGGCACAAAGCTGTGGAGTAACCAGCCACGTCTGATTGGACATAAGGCCCACTCTACAAGATGAAGTCCACTGACGCTGCTTGGATGACCAAGAGCTGCAATAAGATGACTCCTAAAGATGCTTTATCTAATTTCATAGATCGGCGCCTTGCTCAGCCAGCATCAGAGAAGCCTCCTCCTGCAGCAGACGGGAACAAAT